AATTTAAGATGAATTATGATAGTCAATCAGAAGAATTCATCTATCTTATTCTATCGATGAATGGGTTATGTGGGGATTGTGCGGTGATGAGTCTCTCTCGGGCAGATGTAGTGACGTGGAAGAACTTCCGGCGGGTATGTGATCTCGGAGCATCGGCTGGACGGGTTGGCTCAGGTTTTCGTGCAGAGTCGGGCTCAGCATAGCAGTAGGCAGGAACTCGGTGGTTCGGCTGCCATCATGGCTCAGGTTTTCGTGCAGTGTAGTGGGATCACGAGCTGTTAAGTGAAGTCCCCGTTATGCGAGAGGGAAAGCCCAAGGTTGCTTCTCCCTGTTTATGGCGTTGCCACAAGTTGATGGTTAGGCGGGAAGGTGCTGTACGCAGCCCCGCAGGATACGCAGGACTTCCAGCTCGGATTATAGTGCTGCTGAATTAGCAGCATTGGTGATGCTGGCTCGATTGTTCTGCTCCTGCACCAACACTTCACTTTGAAGTTTATTCGTGGGAGATAATGGGAGGTAGTTGATTGGGGGAGTCACTGGGGTGTCACTGGGGTGTCACTGGGGTGTCACTGGGGTCTGCTTCAGAGAGTTCTTAGGTTAATTATTTACAGTGTTTCTTACATACTAAAATCTTATCTATATCGACAGAGTGGCATTATTAAAGAATTAGTCGTCCTCGTAACTATCTAACAGTTCCATTCGCACGAAACGACGAGTAATTACGTCGTACATTAAAAGCGCTAAACGCCTATAGTCGATTCCGGCTTGACGCAGCTGTACAACGCATTCGAAGTATGCGGCAAAGCATTCTCGGCAATCTGCCGCGCTTGTAAAAACAATTAGGTTGCGGTGACACATACTGCACCGCATAATCCCTCGTGGTCCGTAGAGCAGGATGTGTAAGATACCTGGCTCGAAGGACGAGGAAGGATTGTGATCATAACAATCGATACAAATGAGGTTTGAATTTTTGGGTTCACGAAATGCGACGACCAGGGAGCATTCGCATCTCAGGATGTGATACCTTCGAACCAACGGATGCGCCCTGGGGCGGCGCCTTCGATAGGGACACATGTTTCAGTCTATTATAGAGACTGGTAAGCGATTGTGCAAGATATCGTATTTGAAGTTAAGGTCGCTAATGTTCACGTGCTGGCTGCGTAAGGCGAGCAACAAGTGTATGTATTCAGTAAGGCATGTGATGCAGTGGATGGCTTACATATGTGAAGTTAAAGAAGTACGGCATCGTTGACAAAAATGGGACTCGATAAAACCTTTGTAAAGGTAGTGTGATATAATGAGTTCACAACATATGCGGTTAGATTCTAGAAAGGGGTTTTGCATGAAGAAGCATGGCATGCATAGTTTTCCCCCTGTAATAGGATTGAAAATATATACAGAGTAAACGCAGTAAGCGTCCTGGTAGACAGACGGGTCGTAACCCGCTGGGGGTGAGACTGACATTAGTGTGGTTGTATGTTTGATCTCCCGAGGAGTTGACGTGAACCTAGAACAGAAATGATGGTTAATGTTCATCCTGGGTCCATACAGGTTAGTTTCAGTTTATCGGCATGCACTACGCGAGGCTTATTGCGGAATAGAATTCGTATGTTATTGGAAGTGAGGACTTCTAAGACCTTGTACGGTCCCGAATACTGGTTTCCGAACTTTCCTTTTCTAGGTTCCTTTAATAGGAACACGTTGTCGCCTTGTTTAAAGGTCTTTTGATGAACTCGCTTGTCATAATAGTTTTTAGTGCGTTCTTTAGACCGAATAAGGTTTCGACGCGCGTCTTCTTGCGTGTCGCGTAGTCGGTTAAACAAATCAGTGAGGTATTGCTGATAAGTAACATTAGGTTCGTCCTCGGCGGACGTGTACGAGGATGGTGTTCTCGGGACGCGCCCGAAGACTAACTGGTAAGGGGAGTATTTAGTGCCTTCGTGTACGCTGGTGTTGTATGAAAACATGGCGAGTGATACGTAATCATCCCAATTAGAGTCCTTATTAATTTGCGTCTTAAGGTATTCTGTCAGGACATGGTGGGATCTCTCGATTGAACCGTTAGATTGCGGATGGTACGCGGTGGTCTTGAAATGAGTTATTTTGAATTTCTTGGCCAAATTTTTCATGAGTGATGTGAGAAAGTTACTGCCCTGGTCTGTAAGTATGGCCTTAGGGGCTCCGTAGATACAGATAAAATGCTTCGTAAAAGCATCGGCTATGGTTAACGAGGTGGCTTCTTTGAGGGGAACAGCCACAGAATATTTAGTAAGTAGATCTTGCAGTGTCAAGATATAATTATTTCCATTGTCAGATTCGGGTAAAGGGCCCATAATGTCTAAGGCTATTTTATCAAAAGCAGACCCGGGAGTATCAGTTATTATCATAGGTTGTTTCGTCTTAACCCGAGTTAGTTTCTTTAATTGACACTCTTTACAGTTTTGAATGTACTTTTGGATGTCTAATTTCATAGAGTTCCAATAATAATGGGTACGCAGTCTGTTATAGGTTTTGGTAATCCCTTTATGGCCACCGATAGCAGACGCGTGATACTCGGTTATGAGAGGTAATCGCTCCGGGATTTCTGGTGCGGTAATTAGATTTTGGCAAATGGTGATTTTGATAGGGAATTCTCGGAAATATTTACTAAGCTGTTTTTGGAAATAGTCCCATGGGATTTCATCAAGGTAACTGGTGGTGTTGATGCTAAATGATGGTAAATCAAATTCAGTGATTACATCGACCAGAGATTCTAGACAATTTTTGATGTTACCAGTTTCAATTAAAATTCGCTTGTTCAATTTTACAGGAAGCGCGATCAAAAACTTTGAGCCGATAGAAGTAACTTTGGCACGCTCAAAAGTAATGTCTGTATATTTAGGAAGCATATCATTCTTTTGTAACTCCTTAGCGCCACGATCAAAAGGTTCTCCCGTGGATGTGATAAAGATCACTAAATTATCCTTTTGAGTTGTTAATCCATCACGACTGAATGCGATATTGAGCTTAGTTTCGTTAATTTTTTGGATAGCTGGTATGGAATCAGATTGGAACATCATTTGTTCGTTATCATCATTTTCCTCGTCTGAATCACTTGGAATTTCCGAATCGCTATCTCCGGATTGACTAGAATTTTCGATTTCAAAGAGGGGGTCAGGATCCGGTGGAATTTCTGGATCCGGTATAGGAACAGGAGTTGGTGAAACGGAAACGGGTATAGGATTTGCAGAAAATATTGATTCGTTAGAATCATCGTTGGGTTCGGTGATAATGGGCTGTGCAGTCATTGGCAGGGCGATTGCATCGGGCGGGTTTCTGGATAGAGCATCCGCGTTAGTATTTGAAGTGCCCTTCTTATAATAAAACTCGTAATTGTATTCGACTAATTTCGCGCGCCATTTCCACAGCCGCGAGGACGGGTCTTTGATTGAATACAGCCATATCAATGGCTTGTGATCCGTGACTATAGTAAATTTCTGTCCATAAAGGTATGGCCGAAAGTGGTTGGTACAATATACGATAGCTAAGCATTCTTTTTCTATTACCGAATAATTCTGTTCGGCTTTATTTAAAACTCTAGAAACGTAGGCAATGGGCAAGTCTTTTCCGATCTTGCCTTGGCTGAGTATACCGCCGATGGCGTATCCTGAGGCATCGGTGGTTAGAACAAAGGGTTGATTAAAATCGGGGTATTGTAAGATGGGTTCTGTACACAGACAGTTTCTTAAAGTATCGAAAGCTTCTATGTGCTTTTGTTGGAAATTAAAGGGCGTATCCTTTTTCAAAAGATCGCTTAGAGGTTTTGCTATCTTAGAAAATTGGGGTATGAATCGACGATAGTACCCCACAAGTCCCAGAAATTGTTTTATGTTCTTTTGATTGCGCGGTTGCGGGAACAATTGAATGGACTTGATTTTCCCGGGGTCCGGTCTAACACCGTCGGCACCTATAATATGGCCGAGGTACGCGACTTCTTTGCGCAAAAACTCACATTTGTCCGGTTGGAGCTTTAGATTCGCGTTTCTCAAGCGCGTCATCAATTTATTAAGCTTTACAGCATGTTCCTGCAAAGATCGGGCATATATCACTATGTCATCCATGTAAACAAAGAGCTCATTGCCCTGTAGGCCCGTTAGCACGTTGTCCATTAATCTTTGGAACGTCGCTGGTGCATTTTTCAATCCGAAGGGCATTCTCCGGAATTGATAATGACCGTATGGAGTTGAAAAGGCGGTTTTAGGCGCGTCTTGCGGATTAATAGGTATCTGATGAAACCCGGAAGCTAAGTCTAAGACGGAGAAGTATTTTGCGTTTCCTAATTGATCGAGAATATCCGTGATATTGGGGAGCGGGTACGCGTCGCCAATAGTTTTTTCATTTAAAAGTCTGTAATCGATTACCATTCTCCAACGCTTATTACCGGCAGAATCTGGCTTTTTGGGTACAATCCAAACGGGTGAATTGTACGGAGAGGAAGAATATTCTACGATATTATTTTTTAGTAACCCGTCTACCTGCTTATTAATTTCGTCCTTATGAATTGGAGGGAAACGATATTGTTTGGTATGGATGGGTAGTTCATTAATAGTAGGAATGGAATGTTGTGTGGCATTTGTACACTCGAAAGGGTCAGAAGGTAATTGAAACCTATCAGAATTTTTATGAATTAATGAAATCAACTCATCTTTCTCCTCGGAGTTAAGATGATTGATTCTTAATAATTGTAAAATAGAATCAGCGCGGTCGCTGGTATAAAGGGGAGTATTACTGGAATTTGAAAAATAAGAAGAATGTTGAACCTCTTGTATGGATTCTTCGCGACCTAGGTACGGAGAACTTAACGGAACAAGGGGTAACATATGAGAATCCGATTTCTCAGAATCGGCAATAAGAGCGTTAAGGGGTTGAGTAGAAGGTGTGAAAACACTTGAAGAGGGGGTAGGGGTAGCTGCGTGTCCTTGGACTGTCGCGGATGGATCGGACTCTCTGATATCCTCGGAATCAAAGGTGTCGTAATCCAGCAGGGGAACGGTAGGGACTTCCAATTCATAAAGCTGTTCGGTAGTATTAAAAACAGGCAAATATGCTTTGCCATGAGAATTAGTTACTAACGCGTTACCGAAGTATATTCCGGACTCCGTCGGTAGTAAAGAGACGTATCCCGTTTGGTTTTCGGGATTAGAGACGTTAACGTGCGCGGGGGTGACGGAACGTGGTTTTACTTCCACGATCTCTGTTTTAGCAAAAGGGACGCGCACATTGTCGTATTGTAGCAAATTATTTTGAAAATCGAGCACGGCGTGGTGTTCTCGCATAAAAATAGCACCTATAATTCCGTCAGCGGAAAAAGAAATATCTTGTGGCACTATATGAAATTCGATATCGCGACCGATAAGGGGAATAAGAACTGATCCCAGCGTACGCAGGGGTTTTGGCGATATCCCGTGTATCGTACAAATGTCGCGGTTATTAATTATAAAAGATGGCTTTAAGCATCCTTCTTTCAGTAAATTAAGATTCGATCCCGAATCGAGCATGAAACGCTTATTACCGTCGAAAGCTAGAGACGATAATATAATAGTAGGCAATTGACGGCTTTCTTCGATTACGTTCACGCGGGCTGTAGAGGTGGAGATGCCTTTGTTGGCTCCGCACTCTGGATTGTTCGAGGGAGGATCTGGCGTCCCTGATTGTTCGCGTTCGGGGGGACGCCACGGTTTCCCGATACGCCGGCTGCGTTTCCCGACGGGGTCTCAAGTGAACGTCTGTATGCTAGTTTTTGGCAATCGCTAATGACATGGCCCGGTGCCTTACAATAGCGGCACGAAATTACCATTGGGGCATTCGGCCCTGGTTGTCCCGGGATCAAAGGTTTAATGAAGGGCGGTTGCTTAATCATCGGCGCAGTCGCGGGAGCGGCATGCGCGGGAAAATCGACACGCGGAGATGGGTTAGGTTTTGCAGTGAAGGCGGGCCTTTTCCGTAAGGCTTCGGCTTCGAGAGTCTTGGAAATCTGAATAGTGTTCGCTATTGCGGTATCCAAATTTGTGTAGCCCCCCTCAATTTTCATGCGGACTAAGAGGTCAGAGGGTAACCCGTTAATGAAGCTTTCGAGACAATCGTTATCGACTCTTTCCAAGTCCACGGGTGTTAGTTCGCCGAGGATGTCAGTTTCGCCGTCTATAATTGCGGATCGTAAGTCTTTGGTTCTCTCTATGTAATTGAAAATATTTTCGTTTGCGAGCATGAAGAGGTTTCCTAATTCTCCGCGGTACTGGTTTAAAGATTTATTTGGACCGAATATCTTCTTCAGATGACCGGTTAAATGACTCAGCGAGTAAAATGTCATACCTTCTACGGCAGTGTAGGCATGGCCCTGTAGTTTGTTAATAATTAGATCGACCAGATACGATTCCTGGGGAGGGGATATTAGTCGCAAAGCTCGCTCGCAGATTTTACTAAATTGGAAAACTGACTGTTTGTGTCCGTCATATCGCGGAATAGAGTCTATAATATCTTTGAAACGGATGGGTGAGGCGTCCGTCGGCCGTGTCTGAACGTTGGGCAAATCGATGTTAATAAGAGGATCGACAGGGGCCGCGGGCGCTGCAACGTTGCGGGCGGGCATTGCAGTGACTTGTCGCGTAAGCCATTCGACTTGGCGCGGTATGTTAATTAAAGAAGTTAACTGTTCTTGGATGTTACCGAGTACGCCCTCTAGATTACTCAAATCGCGAGGGGCCTGGGAATGGGTCAGGGCCTTTTCGCGTTCCGCTAATTCGGCTTGTTTCGCCTGTAAGGCTTGCGACTGCTCGCGAATTACTCTCTCTTTTTCTTCCAGCCTTTGCTGGGCGAATTCAATTTCAGCCATCTGACTATCAGATTCAGAAGGCGGTTTCGAAGAATGAGAACGAGTATTATAAGCCATTTTAAACTTGGTTTCCTTTTGCTTCCGCAAAGAGACTTTTTCCAATCCCACCGCTGCCACCAATTTTTATGTCACGTCCGGG